TATTATTGCAAGAAAATTTGTAAAAATTTTCTGCAAATATTTTTTTTAAAAAAGTTTACAAAAAAATAACACTTTTCTAGTAATAAATTCATTCCTTTTAAATGATTTATTCGATAATTCGATCGATCAAAGAATACCAATTGACAAAAGATGGTAAAAAAAATAAATAAAACAATTATTGTATTCAAATAAATGATTAAATTTCAACTATTTATTTGCTTCATGATAGTATTTTTTTGACACCCATTTCAATGATATTTAGATCTGCATAAATGTAAGGTTTGTGAGAGTCAGCAGCAGCAGAACAATTCGAGAATGATGTTATTGATTGTACAGCTTTTAAATTGAAAGTTAGGCATGCTAACCGCCGTTTGCATACTACATTTTTTTATTTATTTGAGTTAATCATTTATATATTATTAATTTAAATTTTTTTTAAAATAATAATCATATATTTTTTAATTGTGTCATGTCACTATAAATACATTTATTTTTAATAATAATATGACACAACTAAAATATATAATTGGTTAACAGTGTAAAAAAACTTTATACCGGCAGTGTATACTTTTTTTATTTTTCTTATCTTGTTAATATTAAATTGTAAACCTACAAAAACAGGGACGATGTAGAAGTTAGAAAATCATTTTGAAATGGAGTGGAAATATGAGGCTAACCAAGTTACCTGAGACCACCGAAATTTAACTATTAACTCTTTAAATTCTTAAATTAATTATTATGATAACAAAGGGTAAAGCAATTTATTACCTGTAGTACAAATTTTTACCAGATTGAAGTGGGTAGGTCCCGTCTATCACGGGTTAAAAACTAAAGAAACTCGTAACAGACAAAAAGGAAGAGCCCAAGGAGAAAAAAAACAAACTCAAATACACTTTTTAATTATTTAAATATTATAATTATATAATTTTAATCTTTTAATTTTCAATTGCATAAAATGGGAATTGGATGTTAAGATCTTTACTCTTGACTTAAATAGTTAATTATTAATCTAAACTTTTTATCATATAAATTAACTCATATATTAAAGACACAATGTGAGTTTTTTAAGGAATTATTCTTGTTTAATATGAGAGTCTTATAAATTTTCAAACATTGTTGAAAGACACATGACCAAAGACTTTTCGATGACTATCTCATTAGCAAATTTTTGGCGTAGAACTGTAGCAAGTTGTTCTGCTAGGATATCACTACATAATCACCATCTCAAAGAAACAAATGTTTACAGAAGGCAGTGACAATTCCGATTTGTGAGGCAAGCCTTCAAAAAAATTAGTAACTAAGACAAAATTACCGAGATCTACATTAACTAAATAAATAAAGAGTAGGAAACTTAATGTACAATTTGTTCTAATAAGAAATCAAGTTGAAGGAAGGAAACATAAAAATGAAGGCAAACTCACGTGTAATAGAAGTAAGTATGTATTTTAGTTTGTTCTATATCATAGTGCATGTTTAGATATAAGTTCAAAAGTACCTTATTTCTAAATTAGAATTAAAAAAATATTCGTACGAATATTTTTCCAATTTTTATCCAAACATAGTCATAATAATAGAGAGTAAATAGTAGAAGCAGAAAAGGTTGATGCAAATAGCAACATATCATAATAATATATAGAAAATAAGATGGAAGGAAGAAAGAGAGCAGTATGGTGTATCCTCCAAACAGGGTATCTGGTGGTGATAAAACCTTATCTTTGGAAGCACTTTGTATCACTGCCCATTCTTCATGTGTCCTAGTTTGGTGTCAAAATCATTGGGGGTGTCTGAGTTTGGGATGGATAAGGAGTTTGTTTCTCACCCCTCTTAAAACATGTCCAACTAGACTTTGCACAAAATAAAAAATGTCAGCTTTGTTGGTTAATTTCTTTCTCCCCATACCAAAAGCAGTAAAATTACACAATTAATGTATCACAAACCATTCTGATATTGAAGAAACCATTGTGATATAGGATATAAATAATGTAGTTAGGATGAGAGTTGGAAATACATGAGAAGAGGTTCTTATCCAGAATTGGAACAAGAAGTTGAAAAAGATTTGGATTTTTGACCATTGGGGTTTGAAGTAAGGAAGGAAAGAAAATGGTAACAGTGGTTGTTGAAGAGAGGGGACCGTGAGATGAGGGTTGTTAGAGTTGGCAAGAGCACATGGAGGTGGTATCGTACTTTAGTTTACCATTTCCATGTTCCTTCAACACGTTAGCTCTCTAACAAACCATCTCATTGTTTGGTACGCAGTTAACGCCATGTTATCTTCAATATTGCAAACCAATAATTTCCCAAATCAACCGCAACCCACTTCTACAAAACTACAAAACATTCTACATATGTCATTTGCTCTTCATCTCATATATAATTACTAATGATCTCACATTCTATATATGTCATTTGCTCTCTTTCATAAATATATCTCACTATATATGCACACTAATTATAATGAGTATTGAGTTTTATTATCTAGGCACTTCAAAATATTTTCTCTAATTATATGAGCATGTGCAACTTATTTTTATTATTTTTTATTTAGAAACTCTAAAACATTCAATTCTTTCAACCCAATATGTTTAGAAAAATTATTAAATGGGTCCCCACTAATAATTCAAACCCAAAAATTTACTGACATGCATACACCCTTTTTTTTTTAATAAAAAAATTGACTATCATTATTTTATTCATAAAAATAACATGTTGACCCATTTTGTAGTTGTATGAATCAATACCTCTAAAAGTACTTGTTCTAAATAAGAAACTCATTCTTATGGTAGATTCTAAATAAGGATAGGTACTTATAGAGATGACCAACTATTAATATATCTCTGTTACGGGTGGCCTAAATATATAAATTGTTGTTAGTAGTTACTGTGTATTGAATAAATAAGATCCTTTTTAATTTAGTTAAAATATAACATAAATTAAAATAAAATTATACTTAAATGTAAAAATAAAAAAAAAATCTTAAAAGTATTGATTACAAATATTTAATTTTACCGAAATATAAATAATTATTTCAAATAATTTTAAGATTAAATTGCACTAACTTTCTATAATATTAAATTTGTAATTTTTATCCATCTATTTTTATTTTAGTAATTTAGTTCATTAATTTTATAAAATGTCCCCTTATTAAACATCTATTAATTGATCATTAAGATTGTAACGTTAATTACTATTTGAGTTTAAATAAATAACATGATAATTAATATTTAATAGTATCCAAATTAAACTTCATTTTTAATATTTATTTTTATCTCATTAATTAAAATGATAAAATGAGATGAAAATTAATTTATTCTAAATATTATTTAATATAAATTATTTTTATCATTGTCTAATATTAGGTTACAATGAACATTATAATGTTAATGATAAAGAAAAAAATGTAAATTTTATATAATTGAGAAACTAAAATTAAAAAATTAGAAATCAAAAGATTAAAATTATGAATTTAATATTATAAAGAGAACAAACATGTAATTTAACCTAATTTTAACATGAAATTTAAAAATAAGAATAACACATGCCATTCTTCAAAGTTCAAAAGATAATAAATTACGATATTGAATCATTTTCTTTTCAAAAATAAGGCTTTTACACTTTTTCTTTTCTAATAAAACTTTTGTTTATTACTTGAAACTATAAATATTAACACAATAATTTAGCATAGTAGTTGGACATATTGCACTTCCAAATTATAAAGATGATCTATTTAGTAAAAAAATTTGTAGTATAAGAATTTTTTTTAATCTCGTAACATGTTATAGATTTATAATATCTTGAGTGGTATTAGTATCTGATCCAATAAATTAGAATTATGTAAAAAAAAATATATTAACATCATAATTTTAAACAACATCACTTTATGGTTTAATATTTTTCTTAATTAATTTTCAAATAACGTTTTTATGCATATTTTTTATATATAAAAAATTGAATGATAAGCTCAAAAAATATTGGAATCATTTTTGAAGTTTATTACTATTTATCATTTAAACTAAAATCAAGAAGAAATAAGTGATAAAAAATGTTTATAAAAAAAAGTGATAAAAAATTCAAAAGAATAATATGCATGTGCATAATTATAATTATAATTATAAAAGCTAGTGTATTAATTATTATTGGAGAATATTCGTGATATACATAACTTTACCTGTATGTTTATTTTGAGTTCGTTTATGTTTCTTGGACTGTATAAATGTCACTCGAGAATAAACCATTTTTTTTTTATTGCATACATAAAGTTAAGAGGATAGTAAATAGTAAATACATTATTCTAGACATTTTTAATTACTTAAAAAGCTATTAAATAATTATTCTATGATATAATAAATATTATTTTTAAAATTGTAATACTTTGCATGATTTATTTAAACTAACAATTAACTATAATAAAATATTAAATTATTATTAAAAAATTAACAAATTTATTATATGTACATTAATTTGTGATTAAATAATAATAAATCTTTACATACATACAGTGTTTGTTCATTTTTAGCAATCTAATCAATATACCCGACCCGAGGTAAAATATTTAATAAGTTTTCATTTGATGATAAATTGTCATATATAATAAGTTTGCTAATTGTATAATAACTATCTTAAATAAAATTTATTATAATTTTTAATTAACTAATAATATAATTTTTTTATAAATTGACAGTTATATTTTAATATTTTTCTCAGTTTTTGCGCAATAAAATTAGCGGTTTTAAAATTAGAATTCTGAATGAAGCACACAAGATGAGACAATCATTCGTCCCTCCAACTAAAGTTTTTTCTTTTGTAATGATTTCAAATTTTACTTTTTAACAATTTTAAATAAACAATAAACAAAAAGAAGCCACACAGAGAAAATCCAAAAAATAAAAAATAAAAAATAAAAAATAAAAAATGAAAAAGAGAATTTCATTTAATTAATTAACTGGAATGAATGAATAGTAATTAATAATTAATAGTGACATGAATAATAGATAGCTGGCAAAAGGTTGTCTTTGGGTCAGTCACGGTCAGCCAAGTGTCCCAAACCCTTTTCTTTTCCCCTTTGTTTCCGCAATCTTCATTTCATTTCAATTTCAATTTCATTTCATTTCATTTCCCTCTTTCTGCAACGATTAGGAGTTGCTCTTGGTGTTTCGACTCAGCAAGAGCCATTGTTGGTTCGCTAGATCCCTGATCTGAAAATGAGCGCTTCAAGGTTCATTAAGTGCGTCACCGTTGGCGATGGTGCCGTCGGAAAAACCTGCTTGTTGATTTCCTACACCAGCAACACTTTTCCCACGGTTTCTTTCTTTCGCATTTTTCTCTCTTGATTATAAGTCTTTGCAGTTGAAATTAGACACGTATGCGGTGGAATTCTAAAAAGTTTTTGGAGTTTGGAGTTTTCAAGTGATGTTTGACTTGGTCTGGAACCTTCTAAATTTGGATATTCACTAAATTATCATCGTTATTTAACACTTTTGTTACTCTCATTAACGGATGATGTTCTCTTTAGCTTTTGTTTACTGTGCCCTTACTTTGAGAAATTGCTTGCAACTTTGATTATCACTAATGAGCACTATTGCTTTATTTTGTCAGCTTTTCAATTTATTTTGAATTTGGTCTTCAACGAATTAAGGGTTTGTGGTTTCATCGTTTTTCATGATCGATAACAGGATTACGTGCCCACGGTTTTTGACAATTTCAGTGCTAATGTTGTTGTGGATGGAAGCACCGTCAACCTGGGATTGTGGGATACTGCTGGTAATATGCAACTACTAATTATTCAGTTATTTAGAATTGGGTATTGTTTGTTTCTGGTGGATTAACGTATTGTTTGATTAACAGGTCAGGAGGATTATAATAGGCTACGACCCTTGAGCTATCGAGGAGCTGATGTCTTTATACTTGCCTTTTCTCTTATAAGCAAGGCTAGCTATGAAAATATTGCAAAGAAGGTTTATTTCCTTTACGCGATGGTGATCATTTGAATCAATTTTTGCACTTAAATATAACTGATAAAGTTGTTGTTTTTTTTTTTTTTTTAACTTCAGTGGATCCCTGAACTAAGACATTATGCCCCTGGTGTTCCAATAATTCTCGTTGGAACCAAGTTAGGTAAGCCTTTACCCCTTTCCTTCTTTGAATGAGTTGGCATATTGTTATAGGGTCAACCGATCCAGATGATCCTGTTAGAGCTACCTGCTTAGCTTTGGTTATTGCAAGGATTTTCTTTACTTCAAAGTTCAGATGTTTTCATGAGTTTATTGCCTTATCCTATCAAATTTATTCTAATCTTGCCATTTTTTTTTTCTTCGAGGTCATATACTCGTATGCTTCTTAACTTCTTTCATGCACACACCAACCTAGAGTTTGAAATGGTTCAAACAATGTCTTAGAGACATTGATGTTCTTGTTTTCATAAATTGTTATCTTTCTTTGTGTTAAGGCTTTATTAATGCCCTGGTGTATAATACTTGCAGAAGTTGGTTTAATATCTCTACCAAGAATAAGATGTTATCACTAATTGCAGAAGTGAAGAAAAAAATTTGATTTACCATTGATGTTTTGTATCTAGGTTGTAGTTAGACGGTGCATGACAAAAGTAGCAATTCCTTTCTTTGCAGGATATTAGTTCACTATCAAATTTATTTCTGTGGTGAATATTACTTGAAAACATTTTTCTGCCAATTCAGCACCACCAATCTTAAATGATTTAATAAATGCTTAATTTGGTTGCAGATCTTCGGGAAGATAAGCAATTTTTTATGGACCACCCTGGTGCAGTACCAATTACTACAGCACAGGTACTAAATACCATAAATTTGCTTAGCCCCACCCCTTTCTTTAGCTAGAGGGGGACGTATGAGTTATTGATTCAGAAATAATTATATTGATCTACACATTGATATTTGTTTTCACTTTGGTTGAAGGGAGAAGAATTAAGAAAGCTGATTGGTGCTCCTGCCTACATCGAGTGTAGTTCAAAAACGCAGCAGGTGCAGTTCTCTCACTTAAAACTTATGTGGTGATTATTTGGTTTGTGTATCAGTAGGTTGGGTTCCTCAACTTTTTGGAAAATTTTAATTAGATCCCAAAATTAAATAGATTTATAATTGGTCCATTGATCTTCAATGATTTTTATAACTGGGTCTTGAAGTTAGTTTGACAGCTTTATACCACAAAAAAAATGTAGGGTTTATTAACTCCTGGGACTGGATGGATTACAAAAAATATAGAAGATCAAGGACCTAATTACAAATTTTTAATTTAAGAACTTATTTAAAAGATCTCAAATAATTCAGAGACCTATCGATGTATTAAGCATTTTTTCTTCGTGTTGTAATATCAGAATGTGAAAGCTGTCTTTGACGCTGCCATCAAAGTGGTTCTTCAACCACCAAAACAAAAGAAAAAGAAGAGAAAGGCACAGAAGGCTTGCTCAATATTATGATTAAGAATCAGAAGGCTTGCTCAACATTGTGATTAAGAATCAGAAATTAATAGGAGGTAGTGAATTTCGGCCAACCTTTAATGCTGCCTCTCCATTGGTTTGTCTTGTTTTGTTCCCTATCCTCTGTAGCGAGAGCAGGAAGCTGTGTATAGTTTGGACTGACATCTTAGGCCTTATAATCACATGATTACTTCCTTGTCTCATTTCATACTCTGTAATTAAAACTAGCTCAATTACATAGCTCAGTGTCGACCTATTTCCTTTTATTATATTATATGTTAGTAGCCTGCAAAAATACTGCTTGCTTTGTGAATGCGGTCATATTCTTCATATGGCCTTTGTGATGTTTTCTATGAATTCCTTTAATGGTTTTGGCCAGTTGTCGCACATTTTAAGGTTTTTAAACTTATCTGATGTTGTTTCTGATTGAAGGATAAGATTTCATTTTGGACCATGGGATGTTCCATTAAAATATTTACATAGCTGAACGTGTTATTGTAAGTTGTATCTTTGGATCCTGATCTCCTGCAGTTGCATTTTTAACTGCACAAATCCTGTCCTTTACAAATTTATTGATTTTTGTATTCAAATAAAGGATGAAGTTTAATCCTCAACTATAGTGGATTAAGTTTCAAACTAGATTATACGAAATTCGAGTCGAACTTATTTTCCTCTTTCAAAATGGTAAGGATACCTTGAATGTTACGTATTAATTTCCTGGTAAATATGAAAGCCGAATACTGGAACAGTTAATGTGACTAACTTATTCAGCATTTCAATTTTCAAGAGTGTTAGGACCACTGCCATCCCTTGTTACGATGGCCATTCGCAAGACGGAGCATAGACTATGAAATAAATAGGAGACGTGAGTGCACAACATTATTATATGTACATAGATAAATTGTGATAAAAGTATGGAAGAAGAGCGTGATGAATTTATTGACGCATAGCAAAGCATTTATTGGGCAAAAGCATCCCAAATTCAGAGTCTTTTAGCTTTTACAAAATCCGAAAGAAACAACATTCCACGTTTCCTTTGCAATGAATATGTAAAAGCTGTAAACTCATACCGGCTAATCTGCGGCCTAATCACCTCATGTAAAAGTCGAAGTGTAATTACTTTTCCTTATTTCTTAGAGAGAGAGAGGGAGGGGGTCGGATGGAGGCGTAATTTTTTCTTCTAATTTTCAAATATTACTTTTTCCAAATACATTTTTGTCAGTCCATCTAATGTTTTCTTTCCTTTAACAGTAAATATTCAATATTTATTTCGTTCATGTCTAGGTGATCGTAGAGTATATAGGTATAGATGAATTGGATCTAATAAAAGTAATTTATTTATATTATTAAAAATTTACATAAAATTCCAATCTATTTATTAACAATTTTTTTTAAAGATATCAATCCAAGTAAATTTTTTAGAAATTAAATATTTTTTTTTGAAAATTTATTTTTCTCTCATTTTTTTATAAGTCATTATATTCTTATATACTCTTTTAAAATTCATAAAACTTTTTTTATGTTAAAATAATTTTTTAAAATTTCAATCCAATAAACATCTTGTATTGTAATCTAATGAATTTTAAAAATATAGTGGATGAAAAATTAATTATCTATAAAAACATTAATCAATTATCAATTTCGTCTTTAGATTAGTTTTCATTATGAGAATAGTAATGTCTTCAAAAGGAAGAATGTGTCTTGTCTCTTGAAAATAAAAATATATATTTTTAAAATGAATAAATGTTTTACAAAAAGAATTACTTCACAAGTATTACTTTTTAAACATTCGGAAGATCATTTGACATCTCAATTTAGAGAAAATAACATTTTCTTTCATTATATAACACAATTAACAATGTTTACATGACATGTTAAGAACTTAATTGATAATTGGCATGTTTGCAAGCTTTTGCATGTATTGATATTAGATAGATTATGTTTATATTGAAGACCAAATTGAGATCGATTAAGAATAAACCTAAATTGTTAACTCAAGTAATTTGACACTTATGTTTGTTAAATAAGAATGAAGATTTAATCTCTAGTATTAATATGGAATCACATATGGAGATACTAATCTGATGATAAAGAGTTATATATTTATTTTTCTTCTCGTTAAAACAAGAAAAGAAATAAGAAACTGAAAACCTTACACATACACCATTTGATTAGAGATTTTTTGGATGATAAATAAAAGTAAAATCATAAGAGTTTAACTCTAAAATAGACGATATCTTATTATTATGAGATCGTATATACAAATACTTTCAAATAACCCATAAAACAACAAAAAGATAATTCTTTTCTCTTGATAAAAATATATCCTTCCCAAACAAATATTAAAAAAATCTTAACGATACCTCCTTAATAGAAAAAAAAAAAAAAACATTTACGTTCATTTTCTCGCTAATCACCGTAACTTCCCTCTTATCTTCTCATCTTTTTCTCTTTCATCTACGCTTTAGTTCCTTTTTCTTTGCAAAGCAGTGGGTGACGAAGTTCGTCGAGTTCCTATATTTGCATGGGTTCACTTATCCATCCCTTTAGTTGTTCTTCTTTTGTTTGTTCATCCTTTTTCATTTGCAAGTTTGTTTTATATTGTTTCCATCATTGTGCATTACATGCATATTATAGTTTGCTTTGTTCGTGTTTTTTAAGGCTTGTGACGATTGTTTGCTCGCTCTATTCGACATTTATCCTAATTTTGATGTTTGATCAATATATTTGTTTTGTTAAAGGACACATTTTGTCATATTTTAATTGCGTGACCGAGGGTGTAGTTTGTTGTAGAATGAGTTTTCTTATCATATTTATATTGTACTACGGAGGGATATTAATGAAGAATGAGAAGGATTTAGTGGATATATTTGGGTGGTGAGATGGACATTGAGAATAAATAGTTGATTGATGGATGGGTGTATTGATTAATACATTGTTTTTCCCATGATAATTGATCGGTGGATGTTGTATATTTTTTAACATGTTAACACGTCATTTGCCGAGTGCTGCAAATATGTAGGTTCCACAACAAATAGTCCAAAATTTTTGGTTTTGTGAAAGTGGCATAGTTGGTACAATATTGTTTGGTTATCAATGGTGTTAGTAATAAACATGTAATTTGTTTTTGGTTTTGGTATTAGTGTATTGGTTGTTTGGTATAATACTATTTATTTGTTTTCTGGTTTTGGTAGTGTTCATTTGGTGTCGGTTACTAAGGTTTGTTTCCATTTTTTTTAAAAGCACTTTTGGTAGAATAAAATAAAAAATAAAAATGAAATAATATTTTTTAAAAATGAAAATTAATTTATATAAAAATTATTTTGTAACAATTATTCTATGTTATTTTATAAAAAATATATTTTAACTTATGTATAAACTAATTTTAATTTATAAATAAATTTATTTTATTTTTTCTTCTAATTTTTTTTTATCCAAAATATACCTTAGTGGTTTTCATTTGGTTTACTAATATTGTAATTTTTTATGCATACACTTGTGTTCAATTGCTATATATAACTAGTATTTTATCTCAAACAAACAATATGTAAGATAAATATTTTATTTTATATAACTAAACTTTTCAATGAATACTTTTTTAAAATATATAGATTATATTATAATAAAAATCAAGATAATTACATATTTTAAACATATACAAATAAATTATGCTTTATATTTATAATAAATGGAGTATCTATTGAGTTAAAATATTATATTTAATTATTGATTATTTTTTTTTAAATATTAAATTTCAGCTTCAAGATAAAGATGAAAGGATAACTTAATAAAAAATGAAGTTAAGAAAAATTCTATGGAGAGTGATTTTTTTTAAATGTTACTTATTTATTAGTTTAGTTAGTAAAAGATGTAACAATCTCGATGCATTAAAATGTGAGGAATTCAGAAATTTGTATAAATGTGAGATTGTAGAGTAGTTGAGGATATCTTAAAAAAATTAATTTGTATTAATTATACCAACAAAATACATATATTTTTTTGGTACCTCGTCACATAAGAACTCTATAATTAAGTATGTTTGGTTTTGAGCAATTTAGGGATAAGTGACTTTTTGGAAAGTTTCTAAAAAAACATTTGAGTGAGTATAAAATACATTGAAAAATCTTTTTGGTTTGTGGGGACCTTGTTGATCTTAAATACAATTAAACATTTCAAAAATGTTTACCTACAGAGGATTTTGATCGATGAAGAATTTTAACTAACGAAAAGCGTGAAGTGTCATCATATGAAGTATCGTGGAGGGAAGTCGTTGAGAAGTCAAATTTAAGGGGTGTTACAAATGGTATCATAGTAGGTTTTCTTTCATAATACAGTGTGATTTGGGGACGAACCAAGCAAAAACTGGTGGGCTTGTTACAACTCTGACACACCAAAATGAGAGGGATCCAATGATTTATATATACAATGTGAGACTTTAAAGTTGATGATGACTTAAATGAATTAATTTATACTATTTATACCAATAAAATACATCTACTTTTCGGTAACTAATCACATAAGAACTGTTAAATATATTTGACTTTAAGCAATTTAATGATAAGTGACTTTTTGGGAGGTTTATCAAAAAAGTGTGCGAGTAGAGACAAAATATGTTGAAAAGTATTTTGTTGATTTGTGGGGATAGTTATTGATCTTAGAGGCGATTGAACATCTCAAAAAGGGTTACCTACAAGGGGTTCTGACATGTGAATGATTTTAACCAATGAGGAGTTGTGTGAAATGTTATCTCGTGAAATGTATGGAATTGTTGATATGTCAAATATGAGAGATGTTACAAAAATTATGTCCAATTAATTTAGATTAATCTTTAGTTATCAATTTTAAAATTTTATACAAACTATGTTTATGAATAAAAAACATTTATTATTAGTTGTTAGAAAAAAATTATATTTAATAATCTTATACATTTACATTTTAATATTTTATTCAATCAATTACATAATGTGTTTTTATCGTACTTTCCTTTTTATTTTGATTTTTATGATATATTATCATAGTTTGTTAGGGTTACTTGTGTTTTATATTTACTTGTATTTTTTTTAAATCATTACATTTTAATAAATTCTTAAAAATGTTGTAGTTAAGAGAATAATTTTAAAATTTTGAATGGTTGATATTTTTTTTCTTCTAAAAATACTTTCATTAAGTTCATGTTCGGTTACAAACAAAGTTCCATATCATTAGATCATTAGGAAAAATAAAGGTTTATAAAGTAAACATAGTCTCCATTAATATAATGTCTTTTGAGTGATGATTAAAAGCAAAATCATGAGGGTATCATTAGATCATTAGGAAAAATAAAGGTTTATAAAGTAAACATAGTCTCCATTAATATAATGTCTTTTGAGTGATGATTAAAAGCAAAATCATGAGGGTTTAAGCCTAAAGTGGACAATATCATATCAATGTAAAAATATGTGTGTGTGAATCCTG